ACATCCAGTTGCTCTCCAGAAAGGTTATACCAATTTATATTCCTCCTAGCATTGTATGAAAATGTGCATTTCCCTACAGCCATGTGGACACTTTGGGTATCATCAGCCGTTATCTTTTCTTCCAGTCTGACAGATAAAAATATATATTTCTTTGACCATTAGCTAGGCCTAGGATGTTTTTAAAGGTATTTCAATGATTTGTATCTCCTGAATTTCCAGTTTCTGTCATCTGCCCAGCTTGTTATGTTTTATTTTTGTTTTTGTTTTTGTTTTACTTACAGATCTTAACAGTTAAGTTTATTTAGGAAACTTTTCTATGAAACTTAACATCTCTTGCTATTGTGAACGGGATAGTTGTCCTGATACATTCTCTAATTGGCTATTGGTATATAGGAACACCTACTCTTTGGGTGTGTTGCATCCTTGCAGTTCTGGAAAATAATTTGCATGTTCTGTATGGCTTTTTATTGCAGTGTCTCTGCGGTCTCCTGAGGCCACAGTGGCCTCACAGAAATACGCTGTGTTTACCTACACAGTACCTTTTTTGAACAGTGCTGAGTACATTGCTAGTCATGGGGAAATTGACTCGTATGTAGGTCTTGCTCTCCTGAGTTTCTTCACTGAAAGTGAAATAGATGTGGAAACGATAACAATAGGATAGGAAAGAGACTTGTTAATCTTTGCATCCCCAGCACCAGGCACGTGGTGGGCACTAAATCTCTGAAATAAGTCATTGTTGGTGCCATAAGAATATGGTTTCCAAACTTTTCTTTTTAGCTGAAGAACCCATTAGCCAGAAATGTTCTCAGCCCTGGCTACATATTAGAATCACCAGGAGAATATTTGAAATATTTATGCTTAAACATAAATATTAAGCTCAGCTGGCACCAGAGAATCAATTCCTAAGAATCACTTTGTCTAAGGTGGGACCAAAGTATCAGCATTTTTAAGATTTTATTTTTCCTTTTTCTCCCCAAAGCCCCCTGGTACATAGTTGTATATTTTTAGTTGTGGGTCCTTCGACTTGTGGCATGTAGGATGCCACCTCAGCATGGCTCGATGAGTGGTGCCGTGTCCGCGCCCAGAATCCGAACCGGCAAAACCCTGGGCCACCAAAGCAAAGCGTGTGAACTTAACCACTCGGCCACGGGGCCGGCCCCAGCATCAGCATTTTAAAAAACCTTGTTAGGGGATTCCATTGAGCAGCCAGGGTTGAGAACCACTGCTAGTTCAATATGCAGTGAAGAAGGGGGAGAAGGGAGCCCCTTTTCTCTTGCCTCTGGCCCCTGACTGGGATTTGCTGAGCACAGTTTGAAAGCCACATTCCTTTTGTCCTGAGAGTCCTCAGAGGATGCTGGGTGGTGTGCCCACCCTAGTGGCAACCTTGTTCTGGGCTTATGCTGCTGCTTAACATGCCAGGATGGGAAATAGGCAGACCTGGTTCAACCAAACAGAGCTGAAAAGATACCCCCGTGCTGAGGTTGCTGAGCCTAGGAATAGCTGTGGGAGGATGGTTGGAATTAGGTGTTGGACCCCAGTGGTGCATGCGTTCAGTTCAGCGAGACAGTGCATTGCTTCTCCTCTACCTCCTTGTCACCACCGGGAAGGACTTACTGGTGGTAATCACAGCTCTCCAGATGGCATAGTGAGTGATGATGATTGTGGCAAGCCCAAAGCTGCTGTCACTTACAGCCAAGATTTGGAAGTGGTGGGCCTTTTTGTTAAAAATGGTCATCTCTTGCTTTTAATCAGCACCTATAGTTCGTTTGCACTTTACAGGGATAGCTACTTACACAGGGGCTCATCTTACTGATGATGAAACCGAGGCCCAGAGATGACTTGCCTAAGATCAGACAAGGAGGGTTGAGCCTGGATTCAGACCCTGATGTTCTGACTTCAGAGGCCATGCTTTCCCCCTGCTCCATCCTGTCCCTGAGGGGCCCTCTGTCAGGAAGAGGGCTGCAGTTATTTGTACACCCAATTACACAGACGCCAACTCCCTCTTTATCTGGCATCATCTCCTCTGCTGTCCATTCAGCTGAGGTTGTGACCTGGTGCACAGAGAATGGAGAAAGCTGCAGAGGCAATGGATCTGACTTAGATTCATTTGTTGGGGTTTTTTCCTGGTATAAATTGTGACCCAAGAGTTGCTTTCACTTCTGTTCTCTGGCTGCCTGAATGACTGGAGCATGGGCTCTGTTATCTAACTCTCGTTACCCTTCACCCTCTGGGGCCCATCGGCAATTCTGCAGCTGTCAGACATGATGATAAATGTCTAGGCCAAAGGTTTTTAAAAAATCTTTGCAATTGAAAGGAATGCTCAATCAAGATGACAAGGGATAAATAAAGCATTGATACCTGACTTTCTCCTCTTTCATCTTGGCTGCCCATACATGACCTGACTCCGGTGGTCAGTCTGCTTGGCTGTCCTGCCTCTTCCTGCCCTTGCTCAGGCTTTGTCCTTTCTGCTACCCCTCTTACTCCAACTGTGGGGGACCTGCCCATCTTCAAGGCTCAGCTCAGAAATTGCTCCTCATCTCCTTCTTTTTTACTCTTCCCACTCTGTCTCGCATCGCCTCAATTACCAAGTCCTATTGCTGTATCTCCCTCATTCTTCCAGAATTGCTCTCTAGCCCAGGTGCCACTTCTGAGACAAGCCACCAGCATCTCTGTGAGCCAGCCTGCGCCTGCTCTCCCACTCTTGCCCTGCTTACTGTCTGCCTTGTATCAGAGAGGTTATAGCATCTGTGTACCTCTCCTGGCATGCGTTAACTCTTTGAAGGCAGCCCTTTATCTTAGCACACACATACCCATTATCAAATACAGTGCCTGTCACACACAAGTCATCAAAATCCCTTGATTGCATTCCTTCTGAGGCTGCCTGACAGGTATCGTACCTGGCTGTCCCGGGCAACATTTCTGGCCCAGCCAAACATTTTCATAGCCTGGTCTTTATTCACTGACTTCTCCCTCTCTCTCCTTCAGGGGAGTATGAGACCAAGCACCAGATGACATTTTTCTCACCAAATATCCCTATTTCTAAACCTCAACTGTGTCAGGGACAGGTGTGGGGCGTTTGGTCAGTTCTCTTGTAGGATGTGCTTTACAAAGGAAAATGACATTCAGGAAGGATTTAAGCCTCAGTCTGGCTTTTTTCACAGGCCCAAAGCCTTTTCCCACCCCGTCTGCCAGACACTTGCTGGCAGAAGCAATGGTGGGTGACATCAGCACAGGGCTAGCCAGAGCCCTGCTTCCAGGGTCCTACCTACACCAGGGGGCTGCCTTTTCATCTCTGCCTGGCCCCAGCATGAATAATACCTAGGCAGTAAGCAACACTTTCACTGCTTGGTAGACTTGCGAGGTGCCCACTCACCTGAGACTGGAGTGAGAGGCTGCAATTCAAAGGTGCTTTCCCTCCCCCAAAGAAGAAACCCATCTCCCTCCTTTACCAGGTGTCACATTTGCTTAATCACACCCATGTTTTTGCTCAAATGATGAAGATGAGGGCATAAAGATGGACATCTGCAATACACACAGGCCCCCCTTACGAGCCCCCTCCTAGTCCTCTTCCTGGGGCAGAGCTTGGTCAAAAGCCTCATTTTTGCCGCTGTGGCATCTGACGTTTGCCTGGGCATGGGGTCTGTATGGTTGTCAAGTCGATGGCTGGCCAGGCAGAGCCAGTGCCTGCGGGAAGCCACAGGTCTACAGCAGGCTTCTGTGGGTGTCATGAGCTCTCTGTCACCAGAGCTGTTGAAGCCGACTGGGGTGCCCAGTCCCCGGGAGTGGTGGGGAGGGCATCATGCAGGAAGTCAGATTAGGTTCTCCCAAAGTCTCTTGGGAGACTAGTTCTAAAGCCTGGGGAATTCCCAGTGATGCCACTTACTCCTTTTTCTGTCTCATGCATGAACCCTCTCCCTGTCCATTGTGAGGCTACCAGAGGCAGGCCCCCCTTTCTTCTCCTGGAACAGCTTCCCCGTTTCCTTGGCTCATCTCAGGTCATCTGTCCCCAGAAGCCTCATGACTGCTCTGCACATCAGGACATTTCCTGCACTGTCGTTAACCTTTTGGGCTGTTTGGTCCCCTTCACCAGGTCAAGAGCTCCTTGAGTAAAGCAAGGGACTGAGGCTTACTCATCTTGCTCTCGTAGCGGGCGGGTCACAAAGGTTTATGCATGAGCAAGTGAAGTAATTAACAGTCCCAGAGAAAGATGGTTTTACAGGGGACAGTAACACCCTTCAACAGTTTCTCTCAAGCTGTGCCCAGTGGAGGAGAACCACGTGTCCCCCACTCCACCCACTACAGTCTGGCCCTGAGTCCAGGTGGGCTGCTGGCCTATTGTGCTGGTAGAGTGCCGGGGCTCCCACAGGTGAGTGTTGGGGAGGCCCAGTTCCCACTGGCTCTCCCTGCACAGCCTTTGGTGTGGATGGAGCCTACCGTGTCTGGAGCAGGGCTTTGGCAGCTCTTGGCCAGCAGTAGGAGTTATGTTTCTGGGGCCTGGATCCAAAATGAGAAAGGCCTCAGAACATCAAGAACAGAAGAGGAGCTTGGCCACCTTGGTGCCCAGGGTCAGCCTGCATGGGCTCTGGAACCCCTGCCTGGCGGGGTGCGCCGTGTGTGAGAGGGAGGGACACAGGCAGCAGTGGCTTCCCTGGGCCCGAGCTGAGTCCGGGTGACAGCGAGAATCACTTGCCTCCACAGCCTCTGAGCCTGTCTCCCCAGACTCCGTACCACAGCCTCTCCACCTCCAGCGGACCCATCGCCTACTTCCTGCCCCAGACTGAGTTTGGGGCATCCCCAGAATGTTCTAGGCGTTCCCACCTCCTCCCTGTGCTCACACACTTGCCCTGCCCTGATGCTCTTCACTGTTTCCTTGTGTCCTGTCTGCTGCTTCCCCCAGGAAGCCTTGTCCCCCATCCCAGCTCTCCTGAGCCCCTCCTCCTCACCCCCCCATCCTCCCAGACCCTTGTTGCCCTCTCCCATTTGCCTGCCTGTGAGTGTGTCTCCTTGGCAGTCTGTCAGTTCCCAGGGACCAGGGCAAGGCTCCTCACCAGCCCCACAAACCTTGGGACAGACCCAGCCGGGGCCTCAGTGACAACACTAGAAGTAGGTGAGCTCTGCTCTCCAGACTTCTCACTCCTTTTCCTCCTCTGAATTGAGCACTGGACATGGGGACAGGAAAAAGAAAAAAGGACCCTCACACCGAGGAGAAAAATGCACTCCTTTATTCTCTGTGGGAGTGACTGCCGGGGAATGGCCAGCACCTGTCCTGGAGGAGTAGGTCGGTCTCGGGGCCCCAGCAGGGCCAGGGCAGTGATGGGGGGCACTGTTGGCCCCATGAGCAGGGAAGGTCCAGGTTGGGGCTGCTGCCCCTTCCTCAGAGCTTCTCCAGGTAGGAACCGGGGACAAAGCCACGCTGCCCATTCCGTTCCACTGTCCACCAGCCATCCTCCCCTTCCAGGATGACCTCCAGGATGTCCCCTGCAGAGATGTCCAGCTCGTCGGAATTCTGGGCAACAGAATGAGAGCACATCAGGCTGAGGGGCCTGCTGGGAGGGCTCTGACAGGGCATTACCCCACCCCAGGCAGTAAATGTGAGCTTGTCTCCCAGGTGGGCCCTCAGCTGAGATATGCCCAGCCTCCTCGGGCTTCAGAACAAGGCCACTCTGGGCCGGGCCAGCCCTTAGAGACATAGAGGATGTGGGGTGCCCTGTGGGACTCAGCCTTCTGTTCTCCCCAGTTTGTCATTGTAGGCCTCCCACAACTTGGGACTTCTTCCCTGTTTCACCTCCCTGCTGCTCCCTTCTCCCTCCCTGCTCCAGACACACAGCGACCTTAGCAAGTCAATGGTCAGGTGTGCTCACCATGCCCGAAGCCCAAGGGTGCGCGCTCACTCCAGGCTCACTGCGCACAGCCTGCCCCTCTCCTGGGAGCTCCCCTGTACTTCCCCAGCCCTGTTACCACCATCATACAAGCACACCATCATTCTGCCCTGTCTTTCCTGCCAGGGACCAGCTCTGGGAGTCAGTGCAGCTCAGGGCACAGCCTGCCTAGCCCCAAGGGGATGTTTGGGCTCAGTCCAGGTGGATCTGGGGTCTGGCTCTGCATCCCTCACTTCAAAGCAGGGAGCAGACTGGACTCTGGGGATCTTAGCACAGCTGCCCTGTGGCTCCTTGACCAACCCTCTCTCCGTGGACCTCAGAAAATCAACCCCAGCACAGCTGTGGGACCCATTCTGGCTATGCCTTGTTCTTGGCACCCATGGCCATGGAGAACAAGGCCCAAACCTGAGGGTCCTGCAGGTAGCTCCAGGAGCTGTCAGCCTGCCTGCACCTGGGCACATGCACACACACACACACACACACACACACATACACACGCCTGTGTCTGCCTAGAGACCACGTGGGTGCAGGTGAACAGACTGGGCAGACACAGGCCCTGGTACCCATTCATCAACATTTGCTATGCAGATATGCACTGAGCCCCTCCCAAATGCTGGGACACATTCTAAGGACACATACCCTAGCACACTCACAGTGCACTTGCCTACGTGTGAACACACACTTGGGCATATCTGTGCCCTCCTGCGAGGGAGAGGAGGGCGAGGGCCTCACCTGGGCCGTGTAGTCATAGAGTGCCCTGTAGTCTTGGGTTGGCAGGGTAGGAGGTCCTGGCGCCTCCTGTACCGCGATGGTGGCATAGACACCCTCATTCCGATTAGGGGTCGGGGTCAGGGTCTCTGTGGAGGCCGAGAGCAAGGTGAGGCCTGGAGCCTGCCCCTTTCAAAGGACAGTGGTCCCTGGAGGCCCCCCTGGCATGGAGCTCCCCCAGACTTGGCTCAGCCTCTTCCCATTCCCTGCCCCAAGCTGTTGGAGGGCCCATTTGTGCCATATAGGTGTCCTCTCCTTACCCCCACATTACCCCCAGTTACCTGCAGACGCTGACACTGATGCAGTCTTGGGACTTCCATGCAGCAGCCCGGAGAACCTGGGGACAGGGAGGAAAGCAAGTAGGTCCTGGAGGGAGGGGGGTGAGGCAGGGAGCCCTCACAGCTCCAGGGCTGGGCTGCCTCTAGCCTCCAGGTGAGGATGTGATTTAGGGGGTGCCCCTCAGGCGTGAGGGCTCCCCAGAGAGTAGGCCCAGTGGGCTTTCCTTCCCCAGCAGTGCCTCTCAGTCCCTTGCACTTTGGACCTCTTCTCAGCACCTGTTTCCTGCAGGGCCTGGCACCCACCAGGCTCCTGCTCCAGCCTCCTCCTAACAGCCTTCCCCACCGGGCAGGAGAATGAGCTGTCCTTAGAGCTTGGCCCCCTTAGACCCTTACCTGCCAGGGCCCAGCCAGCTCTCCTCCCCACGGTCCCACAGGGACCCGGCCAGTCTCGCCACTCCAGGACCATGCAAAGTGGGGTCCCCCATGTACATGTGAGTTGCAGGAGGCAGTGCTGGGCTAATCCACCCCGTCCCCTACGCCTGGCTCAGGCCTGGACTTAGCCAGAGTCATGAAGATTCGTTGAATAGAGAAAAGAATGGAATAAGCAAGAGGCAGCCACTGGGGGACTAGTGGAGAGCAGATGGGGTCACCCCATGAAGCAGCCAGTGCTAAGGGCTAAATAAGTAGAGGCTGCTGTGACAAGCCTGCCTCAGGAAAGTCTTCCTGCTGGGCTCAAGCTGTCTTGAAAGACTCAGCTTTAACAGGCAGAGACTGGGGTGCAAGGCATTGCTGGTGAATGGGAGGGGGGGTGCAAAGGTGCAGGTGGAATAGTTTGGGGAGTGGAGTGGACCAGCTTGGGGTGTGTGGGAGACAAGACTGGAATAGGTACTGAGCCAGACCCAAGGGGCCGTGACAAGGGGCTGGGCTGTGACTTGGGCCTGTGAGAGGCTGCCCTGCAGTGCCAGGTGAGACACGAGGGGCCTCTCCCACGGGCAAGACAGTCTAGGCCTCTTCGCCATGCCAAACACACACACTCACAGAGTTTGTGGAGCTGAGGGCCCAGGAGGACACACAAGCCCAGGATGGGAGCACATGGACATGTAAGTGTGGACCTGGACACATGAAGAAGCCTAACCCTAACACAGGCCATGCAGACATAGCACCTATGACATGCTCCTGCCCCATGGACAGCAGAGGGCAGGGTCAAAGCCCCAGGGCTGTGGCTGGCAGGAGCAGAGCTTCCTGAGGCCGCTGTGCGCCCTGCCCCACTGCCCTGTTTCCCCAGATTTGTCTACACTTGCAATTCCAATTCCTCCCTCCACTCACTTCCCAGCCACTGCCCCCTGCCCCTCCCCAACCCTGCCTGGCTTCTGGCTGCCCCGACACAGTGTCCCCTGCCCATCCCCTCCAGCAGCCAGGCCTCCTCCACCCAGTGGGATCTCTCTCTCTCCTTTACTTTTTTCCTCGTGGGGCACCCCTTTCCTTTCTTGACACTGCTCTTCCGGCTAGTTGTTGAAATGACCACCTGTGCTGAGATCCAGGTCCTCCCCAGATTTTGTTAAGACTGAGAGTGTGAATGCCTTCCTCTGGGGTCATCGCTTGCTCAAGGTTCTCAGAGGGGCATCCTGTGCTCTCTGCTCTGAGGGCTGGTGGTTCTCACGAGCCTGTCTCCCAGGAGACATGCTGCAGGGTGGCTCCAGGGGCTCCTGAGGCCTTGGAAATGAGCTGTCCTCGGAGAGCTGGGAGCTCTGTCAACCCCACCCTCAGCCACCTTCCAAAGGCAGGCCCTTCCCTGCACTAGGTCAGATGGAGAGAGGAGGTCACAGAGACCTCACGATGTGAGCGGGCCACAGGTACCATATGAAACCCACGGATGCTCCTAGATGCCCACAGATGGGGCACCTGACCCCCTCAGGGACCTGGCTGCTGGAGGGCTCCCTGAGCAGGCTACGGTGTTCCCACTGGGCTGTCACCATTGTCACCCAAGGCCTGAACCAGGAGGGTCCTTAGGTTCTGAGTTTGACCCCAACACTCAGGGGTTCTGGACCTAGAGAAGGTGCATGACTTGTGCAGGTGACACACTGAGACATGCCACTACGGCCCTGGCACTGCCGCAGCCAGACCAGTGAAGGGGCCCTGGAAAGGCCTGGAGAATTCTCCAAGAGTACTGGCTGCAGGGCCTGCTCCTATGCCCTGATCCCATGCCAGTGGGAGAGTGTCGCTACTGCAACCTGAAGGTCCAGGGCACTAACCCAGACTAGCAGCAGGGCCCAAGGGACAAGCCAGCCTGGGGCCTCCCCGGAGCTCTGAACACAGTGAAAGTGGGTGTGCTTATTTGTTTAATGCCTGGGTGCCCTTGCGCTGAGCGTGTCATGAGGCTAGATTGAGCCTGTCTTGTCCCAGAAGAGTACCCAGCACCTAAACACGGTACCAGGCACACAGTAGGTACTCAGTAAATGTGTGTGCAAGAGTCAGTTGCAGGAGGAGAGGCTGGCCCAGCTTCCTGGCACTCCCCACCTGGCCCCAGCCTCTGCATCCATCGGGTGCCTCACCTCTTTATCATACCGCAAGATGGCTGGACGCCAGGGCTGCTGGATGCCGGGGCCACCTCCCGGTCGTAGTAGTTCTGGTAGGGCACCGGAGCTGCAGGCAGCAGGCCCATGAGGCCAGGGTTGGTGAGGGCAGAGCGGGGAGGACCTGTGCCACCTGACACCCCAACCTGCCCCCATCCAGAGACTCAGACTGGGGCCCACCCTAGTACTTGGGGAGGGGGCCTCTCTTGCTTCCATGACAGACCCCACTGTGGGTACCACCAAGACCAAATAGTCCAGACTCATGATTTGGTGGCACCAAAGAGGCTGGGGGTGGGGCTCTGAGGAGGCTCCCCACTTGTACTCCCCATCATCTCCCCCTTCTGAGTGTATAGCATTCTTAATCTCTGCTCATCGTTGGCCTCGGAGGAGGCCGCAGACCAGGGACCCAGCCAAGGGACTGCACTGTCGACCCTTTCCCCGGGGTCTGACCAATGGTCCTCTGCCCAGAAGCGAGCTGTGAGCCCCCACAGCCCTGTCCTGGCGGTTGAGGCTCAGAGAACCCAGGGCCAGGCCTTCCAGGGACAGGCAGGCCTGGACCCAGAGGCTGAGTTGCCTGCGGGCTGGGCCTCACCCGGGGGCTCCGTGCCCGTGCTTTTGGCCTGGATGAAGCTGTCAATGTCGGTGTCCACACTGCAGCCTTCCAGTGTCACTCGCACCTCCTCGTAGAGCTGGGGACAGGATAGAGCAGAGGTTGAGGGGCCGAGCCTCCATGCCCCCTCGCCAAAGCCCTGCCCCTCTGTGGGTCTGAACTCCAGCTAGGGTCCCCCACTCCACCGGCCTCCTCCCAGCCTCGTGTGCACAGCTCAGCGCCTGTATTCAGGGGCCTTGAGATGTAGCTGCCCCAGGCCTGCCTGAGGGGTCCGAGCCCTGGCTGACAGCCTCTCTTGTTTCCTGAACACCTACTGGACACAAGGTCCATGCAAGGGACTTACCACACTCCTGTTCTCTGAGGTAGACACTATTTCCTAATTTTATAGATGAGGAAACTCAGAGAAGGAAAGGGACTTGCCCAAGGTCACAGAGCGAGGACTTGATGCAGCGAGGCTTTGGCTCCAGTAGGAGAGGATCCAGAGCCCACATTCCTTCCTCTGCCACAAGGAGGCCACCAGGTGGGCTTGAGTCATTTGGGGGAAAAGAAACCCCAAAACCCCACAGCCCATGGGCAGAAGGGGTCAGGCAGTGGGCATTGCGGAGTCAGGGCTGCCTCAAGAAAGCGTTCATGGCTCTAGGGCTGCATTAACAGAGGTCGGGGCCCCTGGCGGGGAGGTGGCAGCCCCTGTCTGCTGGGGAGGACCCACAGCCCACCCGGCACGTAGAGTTCAGTAAGGGGAACCAGGACACCCCCAAGATATCTGCTGGGCAGAGCAGGAACTGCACCTCAGCCCCTGGGAGCGCCAGACCTGGAGCGGGGCAGCCCAGGGTCCTCCAGCCTCTCGGCAAACCTCTGAGGGGCTGTGTCCACCTACCTTCCCAACCCCAGCAGAGGGAGCAGGTGCTCCGTGCTCTGAGAGCAGAGGCAAGGACCTCAGAGCAGGATGCTCCAAGAGGGCAAAGCCAGGGTCACCACAAACGCACAGGCTTCCAGCCAGAGGGGCCACGGCTCAGAGGGGTGAGCTCCCTGTCCTTGGGGCCCTGGGACCAAGGCCAAGTGCTGAGGTCGGAGACCCCTGGAGCCAGGGCTTGGACCACAGAGGACCAGGTGTTTGCTGATGGACTCAGACCTGGCGTGCTGCTGCCTGGAGGCCACCCTCTCCTCACACACTCCCTCCCCCCACCCTCAGTCCCACCTCGTCATCCTTGACGCACTGCATGGAGAGCTGGTTGCAGTGTACCCACAGGGCGTTGCGGAGGATGGTCAGCCGGTCAAACTCCTGCAGCTGGAAGGCCTGGGGGTGGTGGGAGGGAGGTGAGAAATGAGGAGGGCCAGCCCAGGTGGGCCTCACTCACAGTTCAGCTATGGCTGACCAGCCAAACCCCTCTGCAGACAGCCAAGTCTAAGGGAGAGACCCTTCCTGGGGGTCCCCGCCCCCACCTCTGGCCCACCCCTGAGGTTCTGGGAAGGGAGGTTGAGCTGCCTGTGGGGTTCCTGCCCCCACTCTCCCTCCAGGCTCCACTACACACTGGAGAAGGCCCTGGGGGTGACAGAAGAGGAGCGCTGGACCTGGAGTCCTGACGCCTGTCTCCCAGGCCATCCATCAGTAGGGCCCGGCAAAGCCATGGGCTTTGTCAGAGTCTCAGTTTTGGCTTCAGCAAAATGGGTAAAGGATGCCTGTCTGCACAAAGGGACCCAGGGCACCAAGCCGGGAGGGAACAGCCAGGGCAAGGCCCCAGCACAGGGCCTGGGGAGTGAGCAGACGCATGAAGGGAGGAAGGGGTGCTGCCTTTCCCCACCACTGCCTCGCTGCCCCCAGGGAGCAGCTGCAGCAGGGACGGTGACCTTTCCCACTTTGCGGCTGGGGACCCAGAGGCCCAGCTGGGGCTCACGCACCTCGCAGGTGGTCCGGTGCTCTTGCTCCCACTCGCCTCGCACCTTCTCCAGCTGCTCGACGCTCTGCCTGTACACCCGTTCTGGAAGGCCAGTGGCATAGACAGCTTCCCACAGCCCCACCCCTGGGCTCCTGTGGTGCCCCTGCCCAGGGTGCCCTCCTCCTCCCTAGAGATACCTACCCTGGCTGCTGGTGCCTCATCTAAACACTAGTCAGGGCCACCCACTCTGGGACTGCTCTTTTTGAGGGAACTCTCAGCTCCCCACCATGCTCTGAGCTGGCCGGGGCTGGAGGAGAGCCTCGTACACCGGGGGCCAGAGTCCAGGCATCTTGCCATCCCCAGGTCCCCCCATCTCACTTTCTAGAGGGGAAACTGAGGCTCAGGGCGGCACTGAAGGATGGGTGGAGAGAGCGTCGGGAGCTGTTGGGCTGGCAACCCAGCAGGCTTGGGCCATGACCTCCATCCCCAGATCTCTGGGGCTCATCTGTCCCCCAGCCAAGGGGGCAGCTGGGTCCTGGGAAAGGCAGAGTCGAAGAGAGAGCCTTCCCAGGGGAAGGGAGCGAGGGTGAGTGCTCTGTCCTAGGAGGTGTGCCAGCAGGGACAAGGGGTATTGGGGGGTTCTGGCATCAGGCAAAGGATAGAGGAGACAGAGGCCCAGGGACAGCAGTGTATGTGCATGTGTGTGTCAATGTATGTATGAATGATACATATGTATATATGAGTGGGTCTGTCTCCCATGATTGTGGCTGTGAAAGTCCTGGGCTCTGGAGCCAGATGGCCTGGATTTGAATGCAGTCACCACCACTTATTGGCTGTGTGACCTTCGGCAAATTACTTAACCTCTCTGTGCCTCAGTTTCCTCATCTCTTAAAAAAGGTGATAATAATAGCAGGCATCTCATAGGATTGTTCTGCAGATTAGTTAAGACATGAAAAGCTCCAAGAACAGTCTTGGCAAATGAGAGAAAATGAATGTTTTTACTTAACTTGCATAAGTATGGAAGTGAGAGTGATGAGCATGTGACTCCGTGTCATCGTGTGTGAGTATGTGTGCCCCCAGGAAGTGTGTGGTGGTGGAAGGACTTTCCAGGCCCCACCTGCAGTCTGAGGAAGCGGGCTGGCGCCGTACCTGCCTCTGTGGCTGAGTCCTTGCACTGCTTGGCTTTGTTCTGGCTCTGAGGAGACAGAGGGAAGGAGCACTGAGCGCTGGCACGACCGGCCCCGTCCTCGGGCTCCTAGCCTCCCTGGGCAGTTCGGAGGGGACTCTGTCACAGTCTCCCTAGCCACCCAGGGCCTCACTCAGGAGCCAGCTGTGGGCGCATTCCATCATTCCCTCCAGCCTCACCCCACAGAGGACCACAGGCTGGTTCCAGTGAAAAAAGAATAAAAACAGAAACTCACAGCCCATGCAGATAACCTGAAAGATAGATGTTGAGACAGAGGGACAGATGGAGACCAGGGCCAGGCCCTAACGCCCCACATGGCCCCTGCTGGACCCACTGGCTGGGACTTGGGCTCTCGTCCCTGACTTGCTGCCCCCAACCCACCCTCAGGCCCCGACCCTCTCTAGGCCTCAGGTTCCTCGTCTGTGCAGTGGGCAAAATGTGTTCTTGGGCCTGGTGGCTCTGAGACCTCTGGCCCAGAGGCCAGAGCAGTCAAGAGCTTGGGCTCTGGACGACCTGGGTTTGGATCCTTTCTCTGAGACCTGACTCTGAGACCTTGGACAAGTCACTCACCATCTCTGGGCCTCAGTTTCCTCTCTGTGATATGGGCCTACTGGTCCCTTCTCCCAGGGTTGTGTGAGGGTTAGTGTCTGCTCTCATTGCCCTGTGAGCTCTGGGCCTGGGCCGCAGGACCCTGCTCTGAGGAATGGGTCCTTGGGTACAGTCTGGAGACGGCAAAGGGGATAGGCTGACCCTGTCTGTCTTTGCCCTGAGATTCTAGGAAACCCACTTCACAGACAGGGAGACTGAGCTTCAGAGAGGGGTGACCAGCCAGCATGTCCCAGATGCAGATCTTGCCTTGGGGTGCCTGAAGCACCCCTTCCCTGTCTCCCCGCCCTGCCCCAGCCCTGGGTGACAGCACATGGCCTCAGTGGCCCTACACACCTTCTCCACCTGCTTCTGCTGGCCATTGGCACTAATGCGCTCGAAGGCCTGCTCGGCGTCATCCGCGTCCCGGCACTTCTGCTCGTATGTCTTCTTGGACTGGGAGTGTGGAGACATGTGACTTAGGTGCCCCAGAGGGAGGCTCCCTGAGCCCAGCCTCCCTTCTCCCTGTTAGGGGGCTGTGGGTGGAGTGGGGACCTCCCCACCTGGGATAGGGATCTGGGGTCCAGCATGGAGATGGAGAATGGAGTCTGGTTCCCAGGCCCCTTCCCACTGGGGACAGTACAGCCCTGCCATGGCCTTGGCCTCTTCAGAGGTGTGGTCACATCAAACCAGTAGCAGTTCGCTGAAAATGCTATGTACCCTCATGATGCCAGCCTTTGCACGTGCTGTCCCCTCTTGTGGAACCCTCTGTCTCCTTCTCCCTCAGTGTCCTAGGGGACACAGCTCAGAGGTCCCTTCTTCGTCCACCCCTGGAGTCCTCAACGGACAGTGTGACCATCATATGGACCACTGTCTGGGACTGACCACCTGCCCATCAGTCAGGAGCCCCCAAACAGCAGGGTCTGGGCCAATCCGTGTGGGGCCTTGGCATCCAGTGCAGCCCCGAGCACCCACCAGGCTGCCGTGGGTGTTGCTGGGTGGAGGTCTGAGGCAAGCCCTGTCCCAGGGGCCCAGCCCAGGGCTGCTGGGGCCCACATGCTGAGCCCTGCCACCCCCCCAGGCCCAAGACCTTGCACTCACTTCCATGGCCTTCTTGTAGAGTGACAGCTTGCTCTTCTGGACACGGTCCATGACAGCCTCGTACTGCAGGGGACACGAGGCTCTGAGCTGGGGGCCGTGGCCTCAGGATGCTCCCCTAGGCCAAGAGGACGGGGAGTCCCTGGGATGAGGCACAGCATGCCCTCCTGGCTCTGAAGGGGGCAGTGACAAGACGCCCCCCTCTCCCACAGCCTACTTTTTCACAGTCACCACTAGGAGCAGAAAGCTAGAGAAGCCTGGGGCATGGATCTGCCCATCATGTCCTCTCTGGGCAGACCCAGCCAGGACTTGGTCTCTAGCCAAGGAATACCCAACCCAGATGCATGTGTGCTCATGCACACACACACACACAATTCCATGACACACACAGAGAAGTACACACTAACAGGCCCCCACACTCCCACTGCTCACATTTGCACATACAGGCCTTCATGTGCACACTAACAGAGCACCCACAGACACTACTCACGAGTGCACACAAGCACACTCTCCCTTGTCCCCCTTGCACAGCTACAGGCCTGTTTGCACAGGTGAACACACACACACCAAACTTAGTCATGGCCACATGCAGGCACACGGGGCCACTGCACCCACCGTGCCTCCCAAGCCCCTTGTTCAGATAGAGAGGATGAGACTCCGCCTGGACAGAGATTGGGCACAAGTTATGAGGAGAATGAAAAGGAAGCGTCCCTCGTGTTGTCAATGGAGCCGTTGTGTGCTGGGGCTCTCACTGGGCCCCTCCCAGCAAGCTGCCTCGTCACACACAAACACACTGAGACACAGGCTCATGCTCAGATGTCTGCACACATGTGCCATGTTCTGTGCACACACATGTACTCCCCATACGCACGTGTGCACATACATGCCCAGGCAGACTTTCCGCACACTACATCTCAGCTCTCTGCTTGTGGGGGCTCTGGCTACTCTGGGGAAGGCATCACTCCATCCAGAGCAGCTTTTGCAGACATCACAGCCCGTCTGGCCACAGGAGAGCTCAAAATAGCCAGCCCAGGGCCTTGCTGCCACAGCAGGTGCTCTGCACTCTGCACGCAAGGCCCAGCTCAGAGCGGTACCTGCTCTAGCACCTCAAGGCTGGGCCGGCTTCTGGGGCTGGCTTTGGGGACCTACTGTCTGTTCGGGAACCCAAATTTAGATCCTGAAAGTCTGAGCCCAGCTAGCCAATGGGCAGCAGGAACGGCAGCCACGCTGAATTTCTGTGGTCAGAGCCTCTAGTCAGAGCTGCTGCCCTGTCTTTGAAGACTGAGGGGGGCCTGATTCTGGGCTGCGTCCCCAGAGCTTGGGAGGTGGACATAAGTGTCCCATCCTGCAAGAGGGAAACTGAAGTGCAGAGAGGGGAAGCAGCTTGGCCAGGACACCTATGTCCAGTCTGGTCCAACCATGAGCTGGCGCTGTCTTCCCCTTCACAGTTCAGTTTCCATTTTCAAGTCTTTGGACAGTTTACAACGATCCTTCCTCTCCAAGCAAGAAGTGTTTCTGTGTGCTGGCCTCTCCCACCCTATCTCCCTGTCTCCCACCCTCTGCCCATACCCTTCCCCTCCTCCTTCAAATGGCCCTCACCTCCAAGCCAGGGGCACAGCCCCTCACCCTCCTTCAGCTCCGTCAGGAGGGTCCATCCTCCACCCCCTCCACAGCGACCATGACCACCTCCCCCCGAGGGCCCACCCCTAGCACCCGCCTCACCTTCTTCCTCTGCTCCTTCTGCCTCTCACGGAACTCCTCGAGGCTCCGCAGCTCCTCTCGCAGGGCCAGGGCCAGCTGGATATGGGAGCTGCCCACGTTCTCCATTTCTGGGGGCAGAGTAAGGATGCCAGTCCCCAATATCAGACGTGATGGGCCTCGGCCACCCACACACACCCCTGCCTGGACAAGCCCAGCTCCCACCCCACACCTCGTCTTCTGTCATCCACCAATCCTCCACCAGCCTCGCAGCCCTGTGTACAGCCTGAGCTCCTGGCGAGAATCCATCCACCCCATCTACGGGAATATGGGTGCTCCCAGAAGGTCCTCTCACCCTGCAGCCTGGGGTGGGGGACAGTTGGACTTACGTTGCTTCAGGGAGTCAAAAGAGGCCCTGAGGGAGCTGCAAAACAGAAAGGCCAGGGTCAACAGGAGGAGCACAGTGGAGCCTGAAGTCCCAGCTGACTTTTATTTTGCTGAGAGGGCCCTAGGTCACTCACACATACTGACCTAGACCCAAGGGACCCTCTAGCCAGACAATTGGGACCGTCCACTGACAGCCCTAGTTGGGATTTCCAGAAGGCAAAGCTCTCTCTTTGGAAATTACAAAGCAATTAAACCTCCCCACTTGGCAGAATCTGCTGGCTTCTGCGTCTTCAGGGCCCTCCCTCCCTGAAGCCTCTCGCCCCAGTCCTCTCCCCAATTCAGAATGAGCCGAAAGATGGCAGGGTTCAGACTCAGCCAGAGGACATTTTGGAGGAAGCTGGATGGGGGCTGAGAGAGTGGGCAAGCAGGAGAGGAGAGATGTGGGGACCTTAGGACAGAACAAACAGTATGTAGAGGTGAGGACAGCAAGAGGCCAAAGGCCTCCCTGGCTCCTGGCTGGGTGGCTGGGTGGGCAGTGGTGACACCTCTGAGACGGGGGCCCAGGAGGGAAGATGAGGAGTCTACTTTAGGGTGCATGAGCTTGGGATGCCTGAGAGAACCCAGCAGGAATCAGGAGGCAGCAGGGTGGTCAGTCCGGAGCAGAGAGGCAGGCACTGTCCACTCCAGGGCAGGCGCCAGTAGAGGGGGAAGGAAAGAGGCTGGCCCAGGGCATGGGAGGTGGAGTGTGACACCCGAGGGTAGAGTTGCCAGATGGAGCAAATGAAAACACAAGACACCCAGTTAAGTTCGAATTTCAGGTAAACAACAAATACTTTTGAGTATAAGTACGCCCCATGTAATATTTGGAACACACATTTAAAAAGTATTTGTTATTTATCTGAAAGTCGCGTTCAGCTGGGCATTCTGTATTTTACCTGGCTGCTTTGCCAAGAAGGCTCACCCCCAGAGCCATGGGCGGAGTTGAGGTCTGAGCAAAGGCCTTGGAGCCCCACCAAGACCCAGTCCTGTCTGCTGATCAGCAATGGGGCACCAGGAAGCAGAGTGCTCCTTGGGTCAGAAACAGGACCAATGGGCGAGAGAGCCTCTCCCTAGGCCCATCAGCTCCCCAACCTGGCAGAGAAGGGAGGTGACTCGGAATCCCAGCAGAACCTGGGCAAGGGCTTCCTGCTCTGAACTCCCACATGCATTGGAAGCAGACCCTTGAGCCAGACAGCCTGGGTTTAATCCAGGCTCTGCCACTCACTCTGTGTGACCTAGGGCAAGTTACCTAACTGCTTTGTGTCTCAGTTTCCCCTTCTATAAAATGGGGATAATAGTACAAACGGGATAGTTGTCAGGATTGAATGGATTTACGTGTGTAAACCACCTCTATCAGGACCTGGTTGCTGTGCAGCCCTCCCCTGAGCCCACCTCTGCACATCCCAACCAATCCCGGGGGGTCCCCTGGGCTCCTGAGCCTGACCTGAGCACTACCTCCAAAGTGCCCCACCTAGGAGCTTACCACCTGCGTGCCTCCTGTTATTGGAAACTCGCACTGGATTTGCCTTCAGGTGGGGTCCTCCTGAGGCAGCCTCATAGGTAGGCCCCCTACCCCTCTCCCTGCAGCCTGTGTGGCCAGGAGGAGCAGATCTGTGTTCCCAAGCAACCGTGAGTGTGTGAGGGGTGCCAGGGCCTGTGCCCCAGCATGGGCCCAGGGGTGCCACGACACCAGGCGCGCAGAGACGGTGGGTGAAGGCTGCAGACTGGCCCCGAGGCGAGACTGGTCCACACTCGGGTAAGGTTCTCTGCCTGCGTTTGCAGCCCCCCCTCAACCAAGGAAATAAAATACGCTGCGGCTCCCTCCTCACCGGGGCGCCTGAGGAGCCGCAGTAATCGAGGCAGACAGGGAAACAGGCCGGAGCGTGGCCAGGCTTGCTGGGGTCACACAGAGGTGCTGGAGCAGCGCGAGGTCCAGTTGCTGGCCACATCCTGCTGCTGCCCTTCGCCCAGCCGGCTCTCCGCTCCCCTCCGCGCCCCTCGCCGCCTCTCTGCCGAGCAGTGCGCCTGCCCCCTGGTGGCCACATCGTCGCATGACGCCCAGCAGCAACAGCCCGGGACTCCTGCCCTCCCGCCTGCGTCTCCCGAAACCTTGCAAGGCAGGCTTCGAAGGGGCCTCCTTCCTCCCATTGGACAGTTAGGGAGACTGAGGCCAAGCAGGAGCAACAACCTGGCAGGACCCGCCTGGATCCAGGCCTAGAGGAGAACTGTGGGGGTCTAGTCAAGGCCAGACCCCTTGCCCTAAACTAAGTGGATCTCAAAATGTGGTCCCTACACCAGCAGCATCAGGACCACCTGGGAGCTTGTTAGAGAGGCAGATTCTCAGGCCCCACCCCAGTCCTTGTGAAGCCGGAGCTCGGAGGGAGGGCCGGCACACTGTTTTAACAAGCCTCCACGTGCTGCTGATGTACGTTCATCAAACGTTAGCCCAGCTGGCCTAAGTGATCTAAGCCTCGCAGTTCTGCTAGGGAGCATGCATCATCGTCCCCGTTCCACGGTTGAGAAAACAAGGTTCAGAGAAGTGAAGAAGCTGACTCATGGCCACACAGCTGGTGAGAGGCGGAACCAGGTGAGGCCTGGTCAAGGCCTGCCTTCTGCTTCTTACCAGAGGGCAGAGAGGGGTGACTGCCGGGGGACCCACCTGCCCTGGGTGGGGGTCAGGATTCTTCTCTGACAGAATTAACCCCTTGCCAGTGGCTACACCTCCAATCCCTCTCCTTCCCCACACACTCATCTCCTGCCTCAGTCTCCCCAGTCGTGGTTAGAGCATCTCTGGGCTCAGCACAGCCTCCCCCACAGCCCTCACCTACGGCCCCCGTGGGCCCCCAGCTCCTTCATGACCACATCCTGCCCAGACCCCTCCCAGCCCTTGGGCCTGCACCCCCACTGCCTGCTCCTCACCTCCTTCTGGAGCTCACATCTCACAGACACCTCAGAGTGTCCAAAACTGGACTTGGTGCCCCACAAACCTGCTCCCCCTGCAGGGCTCCCCTCTCATCAAAAGCAGCACCCTCTACCTGGTTATGCCACCTGGAAACCCAGGAGCTGTCCTTGGCTCCATCCTCTCCCTCCACCTGCACTACCTTCTTTTTTACCTCCTAAATCTCCTGTCTGTCCTCCTCTCACTGCCATCACCTAGCCCCTGCCCCAACACCTCTATCCCCCTAGCTGCACTTCCCACCTATTAGCCCTGTTTTCTGCCCGCCAGTCATCTGGCCACCCACCAGTTCCTTCTATATGCCATATTTCTTCTTGCCTCAGGGTCTTTGCACATGCTAATTCCCCATGCGCAGCATCTTTGCCTGGCTTCCTCTTCTGTCCCTTCTGAGCACTTACCCCTGCTGTTACCTTGGGCTGATGCATTCAGTGTCTGTCACCTCACTGAACTGTGAGCCACATGAACAGGGTCAGTGCCTGGTTCTCCTCCCCAATTTCCCCAGGATCATAGCCCAGAACGACAAACTCAACACTGGATACATACCAAGGCCTTTCTCAACTCCAAACCCACCTGTGCCCCACTCTCCTTGGCCCATGGCCTCAGGTCCTTCCTCCCAGGCCTGGAATGGCTATGAGGAGTCACAGCCTTTGGGAGCAGCTGGTCCTTCTCCCCACCCCCACTGGATGCTGGGAGCCCCTGCCTGAGCCCACTGCACTGCCAGGTGGACATTCAGCTTCTGTTCCCACCTGGGGACAGCCCTGATGGCGACAAAGTCTGTGCTTACCTTAGGCTCCCATTTGCCCCCACGAGCTTGCTGGGCCTTGGGGGCTGCATGGATGGGGGTGCTTGCTCTGTGTGGGACAGCTGGACAGGGTTGTGAGCTCTGACTGCTCCAGGTCCCTTGCCCACTCACCTCTGGGCTGAAGACCCTCCTGTCCCAGCCCCACCTGTTCCCTGTGCTGGCACCTTCAGGCCGTCACAGTTCTGCTCACATGACAGGGCCTGGGACACCACCTCTTTCTTGGCCTTAGACTTTCAAGGAAGCAGCCACAGCTATGGGTGAGGGGACCTCAACTTTTCCCAGGACCAGAGACAGCCCACTGGGGGTCAGCAAAGACTCTTCCCAGGTAAATGCTTTAAGCTCATCTTATGGAGGATTTGGGGACCATTTAAAGTCTTTCTCTGCCCGTAAGACCCAGAAAAGATGGTTTCTCCTAGCTTTTCTGTCACTCCTGTGTTCCTCCACACTTGCCACTCGGAAACTGTCCCCAAGATCTCCCTGAGCTCTCCTTTATTGTGTCTCCATCACACGTCAAGGATAAGGCCCCCACGCAGACCTCTACACCCTGTTATCAGTCACCAGTGACCTCATGTGTAACTCATCTTATTGCCTATCTTGACTTGGCTCTTAGGATGCTCAACCTGAAATTCTGTGCTCAAACACGGTCTAAATTTCCAATGTAAACTTTCCTTCTGTACTCTCCCCACCAGGCACCACCTCATGTCCCTGCTTTGGCATCCCCACCCCCGCCCACGCTCTGGCCAGCAGCCTCCTGCCTCCTAGCTGACAGGAGCCGACTCCTCTCGCCTCCCTGTGCTGGAAGCTGGGCCTGAAGTGAGCTGTTATCAGAGGGCGCCTGATGGGAGGAGGGCTCGCCTCTCTCCCTTCAACATCCTCAGCGATGTCTTCATTCTCTGAGGTCAAAGAAAGATGACGAAAAAAAATCTCTTCTGACAGGAAAACCACAGCATTTTAGGCTGACAAGTGGGGGTGAGGCAGGGATGTGAGGACGTGAGGACTCAAACCTACACCGCTTGGGGGTCTGTCCTTGCTTGTGGTAACCACAGAGGGGCTTCCAGGAAGCTGGCCCCAGCCCTGCCCGCCTTGATGCCCCTTCATTTCTGAAGCCATGCCCCGTGCAGCTTCCAGGAGCGTGCAGCACCCTAGCACCCCAGCTGGGGTGGGATGAGCAAGAGCAGGAGGAGGAAGTGACAGCTTTCAGGGGGGTGGTATTTCAGGCAGACCTCGAAGGATGGTTTGGACCGGGCAGGGGAGGAAAGGGGACAACAGCCCGAGCCAAGGCCCGGAGGTTGGAAGGGAGAGTCCGACAAGCTTTCTGCAGGCCTGGAGGTGTGGTTGAGGTGTGCCCACCTAAAGCTATCTGTAAGATGCATTGAAAGGGCTTGTGGGGACCCCTCATGTTTGGGGACCAGCTCTTATTCGTGCGTTTTCCATCGCCACCGCCCAGGGGATGTTTATGAGTTCATGTGTGAAGGAGGTGGATGCTAAAAGCCATCTGAAGATGGGAGGAACGTCTTTTCAGCATATATGGCTGAGCCTCCAGGCCTGAGGGAGGCTTCTGGCCGGTCTGAGATCAGGGGTGATGCACAAATGCTGCGTCTTCAGGCAGCGGAGGGAGGGGAAGCCGGCCTGCTCTGCCCCTTCGGCTCTCGCTGGGCTATTTCTGGGGTCATTTAACTCCCTGGCTTTTGTCCTCCTCATTCACCCCTGCCCAGCCTGCACACCCTCCAGCCCTCTGCCCACCCTCCAAGGGGCTGAGAGTGAACATCCCACGGGACCTAGGGGGCTTGGCTATGGGAAGGCTGGGGGCTTCCCCCTACCAGGGGATGGGCCCTGGAGGTTAAGCTGCCAGCCCCCACACTGAAGAGCCAGGCCACTTTTTCCAGAGATGCCAACCCCAAACCCCCCCCCCCCCCAAGTCTCCACCACACAGAAGCAACCGGGCTGTCATTCACTCTTCCCACAAAGAGCCCTCCAGACGGGTGCGGGGACAGCGTGATTTGGTCTAAGCCAAGACCATGACAGTCAGGCTAGGCTGGAGTGTCTGGAAGGGCTTCCTGGAGGAGGTGGGACATGAGAGGGCCCTGAAGGGAGGTTCTGATGCAAAATGCTGGGGAGGAGAATGAAGTCACCCTGAGTGTGCTAGACTCTGGCTTTAGGACAGTGAGGCCCTTTATTTTATTTCAAAATTTTTGAATCCCCCTGACAGCCTTGGGCATGGCACACAGTACGTGCTCCATGTGCTTGTTGACTAAATGGATGGATGATGGATGCTTGCCCACAGTTAAACAAAGGAATGACTGAAGGGTCTCACTAACTCTAGTCATGCCCCATGGGTTAGCAGCAACACTTATTAAGCAACTACTGTGTGTAGTCAGCTGAGCTGGGAGCTGCCTCGGGCACGGCCCTAAGGGAGGCAGCAGGTGAGCTGGGATGGTTCAACCACCGCCTGTCACTCACTTGCTCTCAATGTGCCCTCCAGCCTTTGTCCATGCCTGTCCTCTGGCAGGAATATGCCCCTCCTTCCTCTCCACTTCTCCCAGGAGGCTCCCTCCCCAGTCCACCCTGCTCTGCCCTGTTCCTCTGGCCGCCCCCGCCTGATGGGGAGCTCAGGGCAATGGTGGTTCGCACGCACCACTCCCAGCCTATTCTGCAACCTGTGTGCCTTGGCTGCAGGGCCCCTGTGGGTTTGTTTCTGCTCCTCCTGCTGCTGGTTAGGCTGAGCCATGGGGCCTGGCACACCCAGCCCAGGCTCCAGCTCCTCCCAGTAGACTGCAGGTGGACCCTGACTCTGACCCCTGCCCCTGGCCTGGCGCCCCACCATTGGTGCTCCCACATTGGATGAGGGCTGCCCCTCCAGGGCCTCCCAGCCTCTAGCTCTCTGGGCCAGGGAGGGACTGGGCCCCAAAGAAAATTGTTTAGGCTGCCCAGTAAAGCTTCTCAGCCCCAAACTAAGCAGGGTGACCCCAATTTATCTGACTTTTGGAGGGGCCTGTGTGGTGGTAAAGACCCCACTGTTTACTGAGCATGCCTGCAGCTTGGTGTTCTCAGCTTGACATTGTGACTGCCCAGAGCAACTCTTGGGGGTGACTGTCCCTTTCACAGCCAAGAACCCAGGACCTAGAGCGGGGGAGTGACCATTCCAGGGTCACACAGTAAGTAGGGCAAGGCAGACCCTGCTCCACTTGACTTCTGTAACAACACAGGGAGTCAGGGCCGCCAGAGCCTTGCCCTGGCCACTTCATGGTTCTAAAAACAGGGCAGATATAGCTACCTCCCCACCCTTCCCCTGCCCACCTGGCTCCACTCCTATTTTATCCTCCTGATTAGTAGCTTCTCCTTCCCGTTTGAAGTTCCCTGTGACTCACAGCCCCCTGAGTGTGCCTCACACAGTCTGCCTCAGCCTGGGCTCCCAATAGCCTTCCATTCATTCTCCACTGTGTCCTGAGTATCCTCTACACCCAGCCTCCAACCAGCCTCGGCCCTGCCCCTGGGAGCCCCTCAGGATATGTTCCTGTTTATCTGCACAACAGCCCCCTGGAGTGGGCAAATGGGAACTAAATTCAGAGAGATAAAGCCACTTCCCCACGGTCACACAGCTCACAAAGGCTGAGCGGGGGCTAGAGCTCAAGCATTCTTTCTCCTTGGGTTGCATTCACACTTTGCAGTCTAACTCACAGGCCCTCGGGCGTTGAGCATTAATGTCCCCTGGCTCACGCTACTTTCAAACCTTCTCTAGCCCTTCCCATGTTTCCTCTGGCTCCAGGTTGGAAGTAGGAACCAGCTGGGTCCTCGGCATCTCTAGAAGACCTAGAGAGTGTCGTGTATTCAGGGCACACAAATGGGGGACCAGGTTCTAGGCAATGGAGCCGACAGGCTTCGGGGCCACTTTCCTTGGGCAGAGCCAGGCACTCACAGGCTCTGTGGCACTCACAGACCTCCAGGTGAGCAGGGGCAAGGGTCAGAGGTTGCTGTGGCAGCCACAGGCTGGGGTCAGGTCTTGAGGCTCCCGGGCAGGAGGAGAAGTGCTCATCAGAGCCCTTTCAGAACCTGAAGTCCAGCGCCCCGTCTGATGCTCAGCCTGGTTGGGGCCTCACCTTGGGGGAGAGTCCATGCCTTCCTGAGGCAGCCCCTCCACTCCACTGTTAGAAATCAGCACTCTCTCCCCATCTGCTTCCCCCACAGTCAGCACAGAGACCCGGGCCTCAGGGCTGGAGAGGCCCAGCTGCTCCATAGCAGCAACTGCCCTTAGTGCCTCTCCTCAGAGCCAAGCCTGAGCTGAGCCCCTGGACTCGCTTAATCCTTCAAGGAAGGGTGTATTATTATCCCGTCTCACTGATGAGGAAATGGAGGCACAGAGAGTGTCAATGACCAACCCAAGGTCACACAGCTGGTGGATGAGGAGCTGGCACTGGAACCCCATGTGTGTCCCCTCCCAACCCCTGTCTCTGGTCACAGGCCGAGCCAACACTGCAGGGGGACCTCACCCAGAATGCCTGATACCCAAGGAAGCTGTCCTCCAGGCACCCCTGCCCAGGAGCCATCCAGACGTCCCTGGCCATCCCCCATCCACCTCGCTCCAGGAAGCCCTAGACCCTGTCTAAGGGCCCAGAAGGCGCCTGGCAAAGGGGGAGGGAGCCGGGGCCGGGATCTCTTACTTGATCTCCGTCTGGCCGCCAGCCTTCCGGGCGATCTGTACCAGCTCCTTCCCGTACCGCTCCTCCGCTTGGGCCCTGCAAGAACAAGTCTGGCACTGAGTCTCCCCAACTCCTGCTGGCGGCAGTTCCCTCAAACCTCTGCACCAGGACCCACCCAGTCAGCCTCTGGGGGCAGGCATGGCCCTCCAGGCTCCTCCTTGAGAAAGTTAAGCCCCCAGCCCTTCCTCTAAATTAATCTTCGCCAAATGCAGGCACATGTGAAGGGACATCCAATTATTTGCCCACTTAGGGGAGGCCCAGGTCTGGGGAAAAACAGAGGAGCAGCATTCCTGCTAGTTTAGAGCAGGGGCGCCCGGCAGCAGCGTGTCTGGGACGGGGCCTCGGCCCCCCCAGCGATGCTCACCTCTGCCTTAGCAGCTCCTCCACGTCTTTGCACATCTTCCTGCCATCCAGCAGCCGCTGCAGCAGCACCTCGTAGCCTGTGTGGGCCGTGAAGTCCCTGCACTGTGACACAGGAGGAGGATGTGTAAGGGCCACCCCCAGCAGTGCAGGTTGTGGGGGTCACTGAGCACAGCCTGACGAGGACCCCCTGACCACCTCCCCATCTGCCTCCATCTCCCCTCTTTAAGGCAAGTCCTTGGGATTCAGGACCTGACTTCACACAGGCACACGGTAGGTCTTCTCGAATCTGTGGAGGTGCACGCATGAGCCCCGCCTGGCAACGGAGTCCAGGACACATCGACTCCAACACAAGACTGCCATGGAAGGGCCACCACCAAGGTCCCATGATGACAGCCTTACAGGGTTCCCAGCACTGCTTGCTCCTGTCACCTTCTCAGTAACCCTATTACCTCAGCTAAGTGAGAAAACGGAGGTACAGGTGGGTGAAGTGCGCCCGGAGTGAGACAGCTTGAAAGCCATCTGGTCTGAGTCCCTGATCTTCATCCCTGTGCTATATGACCTCTGCAATGACAATAGCCATTGTTGTTTCTTTATCAACAACTGTGTGCCCTCACCACACCAGGCCCTCAGTGTGAGCTCAGGTAATCCTCCCACGTCCACTCGATGAGGGGAGCATTGAGGGTGAATTTGGTCAGGACCGGGGCATACCCTAACACTCGTGTAGTACGCATGTAGGACACCTAGCACACCTAGGACACACCTGGAACACCTAGGACACCCAGGGTCGCCCTCTTAAGCAGGGTGGGGGGGAGAGGGGCATCTTGAAGAATCCAGGACACAGCTGATTCTCCGCTGCCCGGCACTTGCTCAGCCTGTCCTGGTGTTCCTGACAAATCCGATTTTCCTCTCTCACCTCGGGAGCAGATTCTGAGCTGCTGGGGCAGGAAGTTGGGGAGGGAGGTAGTATTTGAGACTGTGAGGGGACAGAGAGTCTCGCAGGACATCCCCAGGCCTACGGAGTGGGCCGGGGCCAGGGTGCTGCTCCCAGATCTCCAGGTGGTGCTGCACACAGGCCAACTGCAGGGAGAGAGATGGATCCTGGGCGAGGTGGTAAAACGGCCTGCTGAGAGGGGAGGCTTCTGTGTCTGACCTGAGCCTGGCTCCCATATCCGTTCTTGAGGCAGGACCCCTAGGCCCCAGGGTGCTCAGCCAGGCAACTGCAAATCGGGCAGGCCCTGAGATTGGGCACCTAGTCTGTCTTTTCCATTCCCACAGATCCTCCTCCAGAAGCATCCCCAGAAATTCCTGAGGGCCAGGCTCAGCTGTCTAGAGGGTAGCAAACCAGACGTCTGGGCCCTGGCTGGCCACCCAGGGCCCCAGCAGGAGGAGGGTGTCTCCTCAACCCCACAGGCCTGTCCTATGGCAGGCAGCAGTCCCGGCGTGCAGGCTGGTGTTACTGAGCCAGGCTTCCATTTCTGCAGCTTTCCTGGGCAGCCACTTGCCCACCAGCCAGCCAGCAGACAACAGCTTCCCGCCCCTCAGCCTCTGCCCTCCCTCTGGACCCCCAGGGCAGAAGCCTGTGGCAGCTGGGAAGGAAAATTAATCTGAAGCCTCAGCATCCTGCCCTCTCCCCATGAGGGGGTCACTCTGAGCTGGACACCAGCATTCAGGCCCAAATTCCACGGACCACCAGAACTGGGAGACATCTCGTCCAGTACCCTTAAGTCCTCAGGGAAACTGAGGCCAAGAAAAGAGAAGGACCTGCCTGAGGTGACACAGGCAGAGGTAGGGCGGGAATCTGGACTTGCAGGGGACCTGTTATTAGTCCATGATGCCTCTGGGAGAGATGGCGAGAGCTGACCAGGGAAACACCTGCTGGAGACCAGCCCCATGGCAGGACCCTCCGCTCTTCCCTGCCAGCCCCATGCCCAGCCCTGACTCTCTAGGGGAACCCCTCTGTCCTTATCAAGACCCCCAGAGTGGAAACAGAAGCAAAACCAAACCTACATTGGCCATTCTGGAGGAGGCAGAAGGCAGCAAGGTCCCTGCCGCTGCAGGCTCAAGAATCTGGTTCAGCCCCTACTCAGAGCCACAGTGGTGCTGGCAGGGCTGCGGCTAGTGAGCCACCATCACAAGTGTCACAAGCGACTCGACTGTTCCGACTGTTCCGAGGAAGTGCCTGACTCCCTGGGGGCGGCTCGCAATGCCTCCTCAGTGCTGCACCCCTCCCCCAGCCTGCATGCTCCTCCTTCACCCCCACCCTAGCCACCTCCTCAAGGAGATGGGTTCTGACTCATTGCTCAGAGCGGGGCAGAGTCAGGTTCAGTATGCTGTTGAGGAAATGAATGAACCAACCATTCAATCAGTTAATCAGTTGGTCCTGCAGTTTCTCAGCACAAGGCCCAGCGCAAGAATCACACCCTCCAGGGGGCCCACCTGGCCTTCCTTTTCCACACTGACCCAGCTCCACCCTGTAAGTACCTGGGCCCCCTGCCAGTCCCCCATGGTTAAGGGCTGACATTTTCACAATATGGAAGCTACCAGAAGGCAGGGCCTTTTACCTCCTTCAGTCCACTGGCAGCCTCTGTCACCTGAAACCTTCCAGTGGCCTTACCCTTTGTGAAATTGCCATTTATGGAGTCCACCTGCCACACATTGCAGCAAGAACATCACAGCCATTATCCTATTGAAAGCACCACACCCAGAGAGGTAAGGATGGTGCCGAGGAGGCCCAAAGACGGGAAGTGACTACCTGAGGTCACCCAAGTGGTAAAGGTAAAAATCTGGGATACAAACCCAGGTCGGCCTGTCTTCAAACCCACATCCCTGCCTCAGTTAGTCAATAGACAGCCCAGCAACTATTTTCATTTTCAAACATCAAAAAGTGATTAAAAAAAAAACTTCTCAAAATGATTGCTCAAATCCTCTTCCTCTCAATCAAAGCTATATTTCGGGCTATCATTCAGTTACCATGGACTCACAGAGCCTGGGCCATGCCCAGGCTGGGCCAGAGGAGCGCTGCCCTGGAGAAGGGCTGCACTGGCTCTGCAGACGTGTGCGCTGACAGCCAGCAACCAGCCAGAAGCCCCGCCCCACTGCGTGGCATCTGGGGCAATCCACCCTGGGGTAAGTGCTACTTGGCGAGCAGTTGCAGTCTCATCCTGTGGGAGGCCCGCTTGCATTGCCATCCATGCTGTGCAGCCACTCTGGGCCTCCCTTTCCCCATGGAGGGGCCAGATGGGGGCAGTAGGGTGTCTCCCAAGGCTCCAGGAGGAGGTGCTCAGGACAGCTCTGGGCAGGAAAAAGCATATTCCTGCCTCAGCCTCAAGGTAGTGTGAAGGCCTGGGGGCTCTGCTCTGCCCAGGGACAGCCCACCTGCTTCCTTCTCTAGGTAGGTCTGGGTGTAAGCCATTGTCCAGACCTGCGAGCTGGCCTTGGCCCTGCCATGCCCCCACTGGGTGGGTAGAGAAGCAGCCTCCGTACCCACCACCGCTTCCTCCTTTTCCTGCCCGTATCACTCTCGGTGGCTACAGGGGCTAGGCCACAGAGACCAGGGCCCCGAGCAAGCCACTTCCTTTCTTGGGACCTGGTTTCCTCATCAAGAAAGTAGCAGCAGAGGCCAACCTCTCTCCTGGCCCTGACAGCCCGCCCCTCTAGGTCACAGACCCATCAGGGCAGACTGTGGCTGCCAAGTCAAGGAACGTGCCCAGGCCTGGTCTGAGAAACTGGATAGAGTTCAGCAGACTGGATATGGGTTCACACCCCACCTTGTGACCTTGGTCATTCTCACCTTCCCTGTAAAAATGGGCCTAATAGTGCCTGCCACCTAGGGTTGATCTGAGAAGCCAATCGAATAACGTGTTCAGGTGAGAAGATGAGCACAAGATCAGAGGGTGCGTTGAGTGGAGTACTAAGCTAAGGACTACTACCCCCATTTTGCAGATTAGAAAAATGGGGCTCAGAAAGGTCATTAACCTGCTCCGGAGCCTGCAGGGACAGTGGGGATTTGAACTCAGCTCTCCCAGGCCAAGATCTTGGCTCCTAACCTCCTCTTCCCTCTCCTCTCTGCAAAGCCCCAGCTTAGTGGCTGTTCAGCAAGTGGTAGCTCCCCATGCCCTACCTGCCACTGCCCCCGCCAGACGGAATCTCCCCCAGCTGTGGCCAGGCTGGAAGAAAGGAGTTATCTCCCCACCATAGCCCACACACACAGCCTCCCCGACCAGAGGGCCCATTTAAAAGGCTGCCAAACCTTTTCCAAACACTCCCTGCATGGACTTCCAGAATAGAAAGTACATCAGAGGACAGCTAAACCTCTAACCTGAGAGAGAGAGGCCTGGGTTTTGGTTCCAATTTCCATCTGCCAGGAATAAGCTGGGTAGTCTTGGTAAAATCTCTTGCCCTCTCTGAACCTTCCTGACTGTGAAATAGGTATAGGGAAAGGAAGTGACCCTCAGTTGCCTTTCCAGCAGGGAGGCTGATGTATGTCTGCTGGTTTTTGGAAGCCATGGTAACTGGTGGCTGTATCTTACCTAGGGAAGTCTGAAGTCAGAACGTGGGTCGGAGCTGCCTGGGAGGCCGAGGGAAGCGTGAGGCCTTGGGTGGGAGGGGTGGCATGTCCAGGAATTGGCCCTGATACTTTTCCTGGGAACCGAGTGGTGGCCATGGAAGGTAACTGGGAATAGCTGCCTTGTGACTCTGCCCATGAGAACTGCCTCACAGGGAGGGAGGAGCCCCCAAAAGAAGCTGTGTGGAGTGGACTGGTGGGCGCAGCTGGGAGGGTCAGAAGCAGACAGCTGCAGGGAATGGAGCGCTGGGATCCTCCAGGGAGGCGGAATCACCAGAGAACCCACTGAGGTGCCCAGGAGAGAAGGAGCTGACCCGCGGGCATCTGCCCCCTGCTGCACCGGCACCAGCTACAACAGCGCCTGGAAGATAGGCCTTTCACCCCTTTGGAGTTACTGACCCTGCACCCCACCCAGTCTGCAGAGGCTCCAGAAGCAGCTGGCAGTGGGTGCGGGTAGAACCTGGCAACTGAAGAGGCTTCCAGTACAAAGCTAGGAGATGGGGAGAAGCTTTCGGTAAAATTCTGATGTCAGGTTGAA